ACGTCCATCTCCAAACATTTATCATCATTTATCAATGAGCTCCAGTCACTCATAACCCCTCTTTTAACTCTCCTTACCTCACTTATTAACAAACTTATCACTAATAATGATACCCAATACTAGCCCTTGTCCCGCCCTGTCAATACTATCATGGAATGCAAACGGACTGCATAATCATAAAAACGAATTTCAATTAACTCTCGAGGAAAAAAATATAGCGTCGCGTTAATTTCCGAGACCCACTTCACTCCAAAATCTTTTGTAATTATACCTGGATACCAAGTTTACCACGCTTGCCACCCTGACGGAACAGCTCATGCTGGATCCGCCATTTATATTAAAAACCACTTATCCCATCACCCACTAACCCCTACTCTGAAAACTATCTTCAAGCCACTAATATATCAATCAACATTGAAAACTATAACTCAATTACTATATCTTCCATATACTGTCCCCCAGGTGCAAAAGTAACTACTGAAAATTTAAAAAACTATTTTTCCAGCCTAGGGCAACAATTTATAGCAGGAGGTGATCTCAACTCTAAACACCCCACCTGGGGAAAKAGATCATCTTGTACAAGAGGTCGAATACTCAATTATGTCGTAACTTCAAAAAATTACTCAGTACTATCCCCCCCTGGCCCTACTTACTGGCCTTCTCATAGTAATAGACTACCTGATATCCTCGACATATTCATCGCAAAAATCCCAAACCACCTAAATACAAATGTAACAAATCTAAATGATCTCTCATCTGATCACACCCMGATTTTAATGGAGCTCGGTGCCATGCCTATTAAATTAACTAGATCAAATTTGACTAAATTTAGAAACATAGTCTCCGACAAAATTAGCCTTAAACTCTCCTTAAAAACTACTCTTGAAGTAGACAAAGCCGTTCATTTTTTAACCACCACAACCCAAGATGCTGCCATGGCCTCCTCAGAATACAACCTCCATCCCATAAAAGCTCGAAAATTCCTCCTTACATCCAAAATTTAATTGCCGAAAAGTGTAGAGCTAGAGCTCAATGGCAAAGATTCAAATACCACATAGACAAAGCCAGACTAAATTACTTAAAAAACAAGCTAACCAGAGGTTTCCAAAATCACAAAAATGAAAGTTATCATTCGTACATTCAAAACCTCTCAACCACAGATTCATCATTGTGGAAGGCTACAAAAAAATTATTAAATCACAAGCAGCCACCTCCTCCAATTCGAAATTCTGACAATACATGGGCCACCTCAGACACCGAAAAAGCAAACGTTTTTGCATCCCACCTCGCTAATGTTTTCAAGCCACATGACATTTGTCCAAAACAAATTCAACTTACACGTATTGGGCAATCACTAAATTTCCCCCTTCCAATGGCTCTCCCTGCTAAGCACACTAGCCCAGGCGAAGTCATGCACATTATATAAAATCTTCCGACTAGAAAAGCCCCAGGCCACAACTTGATCAGTAAAATCAGTCTTATACTTACAACAGTCAAATACTTATCGTTTATCAGTCAAACATAAGTTATTCATATGATATAAGATAAAATAACACGTAAAATATAATATATAGGCAATGATACCATTCCGATCAAATAGTCAGCCGGAGCGGCGATGATGGTAATAATACGGCCAAAGGCTATAGGTTAGTGATAGTCACAAACTGCTAACTAGATAATGTACTCGTGGCTTCAGTCGAACGGAAGAGTTGACTTCACTTAAACTTTTTAACTCGTTCAACAGTTCAATGATGCAATAGCATTAGCAGAATCTGAGGACGAAGCGCGAAGTTTGTTGGATGAATTATATGAAAACCAAAATAAGGGTCTGGGTAATTTTGAAAATCCATTTAAAGAGTGGGCAGACAGTATATATAATAATAGCAAAAGTTTGGTACAAGAAGGTTCAACTATAAACCCTCTTTATATTCCAGATTTGGTACCAATTTTAATAAAAATTATGAAATTTTTACCATTATGGTCACCCCTGATGATACCAATTTTCGGGTATGGAGATGAAATATCAAGTTCAACAGTTGTGGAGTCAAGTTTTAGAAAACTAAAAACTGTCACTTTTAAACACATATCTTTACCTACTGAACTCGAATATTTTTTAGAAACCCATATTACATCATTGAAAGGCGTAGCCCTAATCCGTACACCAAGTAATATTAATGTTCTCTCGTCACCAAGTGTGGAATTCAATCAAGTCGACTATGGTTATGAACATCATCGTCATTTAATTGTACAGATCAAAATCAATGGCCTGATAAAACATTGAACATAATTGAAAATAATAACAATGACAATGAGTGGTCTTCCTTAAGATTCATTGAAGATAATCAAAAGTCTCCTTCTGCATTATATGTTGTAATAGATACTGAAGTTTTAATAAATAAAGAATCAGATTATATACAGGAAAATGAAGACTGTGAAAATCCATGTATCAATGACCAAGAAAGTAAGGCAAGAGAAATTTGGAACAGGAAGAGCAATAAAGAACGAAAAAGTAACTCTTATCTGGTTCCAAATCCCCAATTACGTCATTCACATATAAGCAATTTAAGGAACAAACAGTCTTTACCTATATTAAAAAACGGTTCTCGCTTTGAATAACTAAAGAGCACTAAAAACAAAAATCGAAAAGAAAAAATTATATTGAGCAACACATGTGCATTCGACTCTTTGGCATCACTGATGATGGTTTGTATATTTTTGTAAATATCTCAAATACTAACTATAAATAAAATATTTCATGTTAAAAAAATACACTTGTGGGGAGGGACTTCAAAAATTATCAATTCACATATTATACCTAATCATGTTTTTTACTCATTTGGCATGCACACATAATTAGTTGCAATAATTGATAATGGTTGTTTTTTATTAATTACTAATTTAATGTTTAAAACATTTATTTTCTAGGTTTCATACTGTGATAGCCAATTATATGCAAATCAAATTAATGACTTAAGGCAAAATAGTTTTTTTAATTTTATCACACACATTGTGAAAAACGGAATTACAACATCAACGTATTCCGAACGTGTTGATATTATAATGAACCATATGAATCCTCAACTTCAACCAATTGAATACGACACACAATATTAGCTGCTTGTGATGCAACAATTATTACTGTAATTAATGCATTGTTAAAAGATTTTCCGACACTAAAATTATCAACAATATGCTCCTCATCCAGTTGTTCACCAATATTCCCCTTATCAAAAGTTCATTTATCTTACCAAACAACAGATGGCAAAATAAGAAGATTGCAAGAGTTTTTAGATAACTATATCACACCAGAAAAATCAAAATGTGAATACATGTTGTCGGACAAATCATGTGAAGGAATAAAAGAAGTAATTCCAAATATTTCTGAACTACATTTGTTTATTGACATATTTTTCTGGGAAGGTAAATATTGTAACAAATCCAAAAAAATAGTTCTGTATTATAAATTATTAAATTTAAACTTATCTTAAATTATCCTATGACTGGTTAACTTGAAAATATTTTCAGGTGAAGAAAATATTTCGAATAATAGAAGTTCAGAAACAACGGAACAGGTAAAAATGAAACTATATGATATTCCACAAATTCATGCTAAATGATGGTGTGGTTCAATTTTAAAAATTTGAAAATTTTCAGTCTGGGGCGGTGCTGGCGAAACGCTCAAATTATTGGAAACGATTTCGCTCGGAAGTGACTATCGTGCGAATTTCAGCGATAGTCGTGCAAATCTATGCTAAATGCGTGCTAAATGAAGGTTAAATAAAAATATAAAAAATTCCTTTTTTTTGGTCGGGCAGTGTTGGCGAAATGTTTCACCAGCACCGCCCGTTAWTTTTTACGATTCCGGAGACACCGATGTCGTGCAAATTGCAAAATTAGTCATGCAAATTCATGCTAATTGCGTGCTAAATATTGATGAAATAAAAAGTCAAAATTTTTTAATGGGCGGTGCTGGTGCAACGTATGTCAGATATGGGGCTCCGCGAAACCCTCAAACCTGCGAACTATACAAGCCTTCCAATCGATATGTCTCCGTCAAATCGTTTCTGCCCCTTGGTATATAAAAAACGCCAATCTTCCCAAAGACTCAAACGTTCCCACTCTTTCTCAGCTAACCAAATCCCACTTCCTCTCATTCCATTATAAGCTAAACCACCATAATAACCCATTAATTAAACGTCTGTCTTCTTGTACAATTCTCGATAATCCTAGAAGAAGACTGAAACGTTCTTGGCCTAGAGATTTCCTAGCTTGATCTGTCGGGTGGTACTACTGAGTACCCTCCCTCTCTGTTATATCAACGCTATTCTTCATYTAAAAAAATTACTTATTGTATAAAATGTTTGTATATATTGTAATTATTATTCTTTAAAAAAAAAAAATTTTAATCAACTTTTTATTCAAAATGCATAATATGTATTATGTATATTTAATTAAAAATGAAAAATAACATTTATTCTATGAAAAAATAATTTTGTAACTGTAAAATTATAAACAATAAATAATGGAAACTTTTTTTTATTTTGTATGGAATTCTTCAAAACAATCGGGATGTAGAAAAATATTGCATTTCTTGCATGAGTAAATTGTTTGTGATTGATAGTTGCGGCATCTTCTTCTTATTTGCTATCKGATAATAAGATGACCAATATTGTCCATTCTTATAGCTCTAGGTAGAGCATTTTTCGAAGTTCGGCCCAAATTGATGTTGGAAATAGTGACTGCAGAATCAATGTTTGCTTCTTCATTTTTATTTTCTTCGGATTTCACCAAACTCAAAACAAGTTTTGATCTGTATTCAAATTGTGATATTTTTTCACCATTTACCAAGTTACAAAATTTCCAAGAATTGACTACAGCACTGTCTACTGCGTTGGTAAAAAGTGGCCACCACCTTTTTTTCCCCTTTACTCTAATTCTGTAATTGGCTATACCTTTATCATGAAGATCAACACCGCCCATATTTTTATTGTAATCATGAATTACGTTTGGTTGTTGAATATTGACAGTTTTTTGTCGTTCCATCGAACTGCACATATTTCATTATTTTTGTCAAAAGCAAAGTCATATGTTCCCTTACATTCCTTTCCCAATAATTTAACAGATTTTAATTTACAATTACTAATGCGATTTTCTCTAACGAATCCCTTTTCCCTTAGCATGACCAGTAGGATATAACTAGTAAAGAAGTTATCAAAAAATACTTTATGAAACCTTGGATTTTCGACAGGCTCTAAAAGGTTTAATACAACTTTTGATCCGAGTGGCAAACCTTCTACTCGTTTAGTACTAGCACCACCATAAGGTGAAAACTGAAATAAATATCCATTTTCAGAAGTTAAACACCATAACTTGAAGCCAAACCGAACTGGTTTTCCTCTAATAAACATTTTGCAAGAATGTCGACCAAAATATGGAACCATTTCTTCGTCTATTGATAAATTATGTGTAAAAATACCAAACTGAATAAACTTTTGGTTCAATAGATTGAAAAAAGGACGCAACTTTGAAAATTTATCCGATGGATCAAGGTTATTGTTATCGGCTAAATGCAAATTTTTTTTAATATAACGGAATCTGTTTCTAACTAATGTGATATCTTTATCTTCGTCTTTACTCCAGTAGAAATCCATCCGAGGTAAAGTATAGCCTGTTAGTATCATAATACCAATGAATTTTAGAAGTTCAGAATCTTGAAAAAAAAATCGTATCTATTTTGATCTTGAGCATATTTCATACTTAAGTTAACTATTAACTGCAGTACAGTGTCATCAAAAAATAAAGAAAAACATTTGAGTGGATCTATTCCTTCATAACTTTCAATAAGCTTTTTTATATTTTCTTTTTCGACGTTTTCGGGAAATGACGAATATACGGGATTTGCTTTAGATTTCCACATTGGCGTATCACATTGTTTTGTATTATCTACTTTTTTCTTTTTCCTAGGATTTTTTTGTGGTTGAGAGCCGACATTTGAAGGTTCAGCATATTCAAAATTATTATTTAAAACTTCAAATGTCCCRCATATATYACTACTGAGRAAATCKGTATCATCATTTATTAAAATGCCATTATCATCTATATTTTCGTCATCAGTGAGACTATCAACATCTGGGAGAACTATAATAATATCAGTGGGTACATCATCTAAATAATCCAATATCTCTTCTACGGTTCTTAGCCTTTTAAACTGACTCATTTCTATACCTAATAATAAATAATAATAATGCTAGTTGGTAAATTATCAACACAATCTTTTCTAATAAATTATTCCTAAGTTTTGATTTAATATGTAGATATATTTCATAATTATTATTAAAAATAAATAAAACTTACTTTGTTATATTCTTATTGCGATTGACCAAACCAAAAAATCGTACATGAAAAGCAGCGACAGACAGAAATATAAAATGTTGCTATGACAAAACAAATCGAACGAATGTAATTGTATCAACAAAATCGAGTTTGTATGATCTTATCTACTATTCTTTAAAATGATATTGGGGTATTATATAGTCTATAAATATCACTTGATATTAGTAAACACTAATAAATACATTATTATAACGGCAATAACGTGGGAACATGACAGATAAAGAACTATGGGTATTGGGATTTTACACTACAAACCGCCAACGTTGCGTGAACGCAACATTAACTTTGAATGACAATTGTAACTTGAACAATGAACAAAAGTTAATAAAAACAATGAAAACACATAATATACTATTTGAAAATAAAGATTTTTACACAGTTTAAATTTTATAAAACAAAATTGAATAGAATTGTATACACCAAAAATATCTTACTTTTGAACCATATTATACTGATCATAAAAACGCAAACCCAATATTTGTAGTTTTAATTTATTAATTGATGTCTCCTTAATCAAATAGTATAACATTTGAATTAAAAAAAATTATTAATCTAGTCAAAAAAAATTATTGAAATTAATGTTGCGTACACGCAACTTTGGCCATTAATGGGTTAAAATCTTCATACATAAAATTGGCAATAACTTCATTTGCTAAGTATCTCATATTTGATGCATGAGCTCTTCTATAATGAGAAACAGATAGGTTGAATGTGTAGATGTGATTTTATAGACTTTAAGGATTCTTCGTTAAGCTTGTTCCATGGAGAGCAAATATTCTTTTCTATAGAAGACATATGGCATTTTTATTTTTATACTCAATACTTGAACATGTCTTAAATACAAATGAATCATTCTTTGTTTTATATCCTAATGTACCTAGAAAAAAATGTTTACAAACACTTACATTTTTCCCATCTAGGTTTTTAAATGAATATTTTAAAGACCAATTTCCTCTCCTTTGCCCCATCTACGTTTAACAATCTGTCTCTCTACAGATGTGAGCACAAACATTTTTCTTTCTGCCACAGATATATTCCAAAAGTCTCTGTTTATAACTTCTCTAAGATCCTGAGATATTTTTTCTGTACATTTTTGTTTACAAGATAATATACATGGTGGTTTTAAACAATTTTTCTCTCGTTGTTTTTGTAATAACTGTTGTTTACGTTCATATGGAGTTTTACTGTAAGCTTTTCTTTTTCTATTGGTACTTTTTTTAGTGACATCATTATCAACTTCTTCTTCACTTGACTTAAATGTATTATTTTGACCATGTTCTTCAATCTAAAAACCCATTGAGAAAAATATATAGTTTTGTATTAATATTTTAATATCATTTTAGATATTTACATGATAATGGCTAATGAAATGTTGTACTTCAAAATATTGGTTATTTATGAAGCAATATTTTAATATCATTTTATATAATATATAGGTACTTAATGTAAAAATATTATTATAAAAAACAAAAATATAAGTATTATTGGATGGTGGATAATTTTATATTATACTCTTTATATTATACGTTTGTTTATGTAGGTATATTATTATTATTTTATTTAAAATGTTATACTTAAGTCATAACATTATTTTCTATCATAACAAGATATCACCTATATTATATTGGTTAATTATTAGTTTTATTCATTAAAGATTATACCCACATAACACAACTTGGCATAATTCTAGTTTAGCAACCTATCGATTTTTAAAAATTTTTTTTTTCCAAAATGTGTGGTTTAGGGTGCTTTATAAGAATGTAAAAAAAGAAGAGCCCGGACAAACTTAGTTTTGAAGTTATTGATCAAAAACTTCAAAAACTTCATATTTTCGTTACGCGCATTTTTTTTAAAAAAAAAATACTTAGAATTGAATATTTTTAGATTTTTTTTTTTCGAAATGTGTGGTTTTTAACGCTTAATAGATTGGTAAAATCAAAACTTATCTAACATACTTACTTTTGAAGTTTTTGCACGTAAACATTGAAAAATACCATTTTCAAAATTAATAATAAATCCTTTCTAAAATTAGCTGAAAATCAGTTTTTTTAATATTTTTT